GCTGCCAGCGGTCCGTCTCAAGCTTGTTGAAGCGTTCTAGAAGAAGTTCGCGATCATCGATGGCGTCCTTCTTACTCTTCATCTGTTGCTTCAGGAGCAAAATCTGACCTTGCAAAGTGTAGTGTCGTCTCTGGCCTCCTTCAGAACTTCATTCCAAGAGACAAGTGAATGGATCTCAATCCCTTCCGCCGCCACAATTGGCCGTTCTGGCATAATTAGGACATTCTGGCCCCAACCCACCTGCAACCAGTGAAGGCAGAGGGTCGGGCAAGAATCTTAGTGGATTGCTGAGAGGCCGGCCACGATGAAAAGTACTGCTGGCGTGCAATCTCATGTGCTCTTATGCTACAGACCCAACCAGTCATGTCCTGTTTTTGAGCAACCAAATGTCTAGCATTTGCATGAGGCCTCAGCTGCAGCCGGACAGGGATGCCCAGGGAGGTCCTCACCATCCAGGCAGCAAACCCGTTTTCAGAAGGGATAATATATTAGGCTTCTGACCCGGCGAACTTCTCAAAGTTAGGCCTGCCTCAGAATTGATTCGATGAATCTTAAAGTTGTTGTTGGCACTACGATAACTCTGCCCCTTGGATAGTGAGCAGCTTTGGGTGCTTGAGTGGGGGGGGGCCTGGGACGCATAGCGGGGGCCTTGTTCCCACCTGACTAGTGCTGCAAGTGTCACGATCTGTGAGAGATTGCAAGGGTCTCGCCTAAGCTAAACTTGAAGTCGACATCTTCAGGAGCTGGGCAGCGTTGAGCTGCGGCAGTTAAACGTGCATCTAGATCTGACCTCACTTGCCCAGAAAGGCATCGCTATCTTTGCCGGCTGAGTGCTTGACTTGCGGCACCGTGAAAGCTAGAGTTCAGCAACAAGCGGAACCTTTTATATACGAGGTGCGCAAATCAAAACCAGGTCCCGCAGGTGTCATAAGCAGCTGCAATCACCCTGCAATAGCAGGTGGGCCAATGCGGTAACCAGATCGGCTGCCGATTCTGGGACTTGGCTCTTTGCTTCAAATCATGGTCTGTGATGACGTCGCTGGGCCTGCGGCAACCGAGGTCTTGCGTGAACATGCTTTTGTGTCGAAGACGGCTGTCTATGATGCAGCTTTATCCTCTTTCTTTCGAAACGTGGACACGCGACATTCCAATTTGCCAAGCCTTCCAGTCGGGGACCAGATACGCACCCTCAAGGCAAGATGCCTGCTGGTTGATATGGAGGAAGGGGTCGTGAACTCCTTGCTGACTGGGCCGTTAGCAGACCTTTTCGACGCGCGCCAGCGAATTACAGATGTTTCCGGCGCCGGCAACAATTGGGCTCATGGATACCATGTGTATGGGCCGACATATCGTGAAAGCATTGAAGACAAAGTCCGCAAGGCCGCAGAGCATTGCGACTCACTGCAATGTTTTCTTTTGCTGCACTCGCTGGGTGGTGGGACCGGGAGTGGGCTGGGGACTTACATCTTGGAGGGCCTGGAAGATTTCATGCCTGAAGTGTTCCGATTTGTTTCCTGTGTTTGTCCATCAAGAGACGATGATGTGGTGACCTCCCCTTACAACACGATCCTCGCCATGCGTCCATTGATTCAAGCGGCCCATTGCGTGTTGCCAACGTCCAATGATGCTCTTGCCGGCATTTGCAACCAGATCTCCGCTCGCGATGCCGGAGAGGATGCTGCTCAGGCAACGCTCATCGACCTGCCACAAGACGAACGACAACCGGGGCGTCGTTCTTTGGACGCAGTGATGTGTCAGTGGGCCTCTTGCGGTCTTGAGGGTGTCTAGCTGGCTATCAACTCCACATCTGTGATCCAGTACCATAATACAGTCAATTAGGATCTCCAAGTACTCAGTATCATCAACGCTTTGGAATAATCGGGGGTGCCGAAAGACCTAAGGACTGCAGTTGTCATGACAACCCCGTCAAACTGCATGACCAGCAGGGCCAGCCCCAATATACCGGAGAAACAAATTCGATTTCCACGAGCAACTGAGTCTGGCCAGCTAGAAGCGGGACTTCTTTATAATATACTTGCCTCACCAGCCTGCCAGTAGTCACATCGAGAAGATGTTGGTCTCATTGCCCAGGTCTGCCTATTAGGGAAAAGTCTCTCAGGAGCTTCTTGATGTAAAGATCTGCTCGCTTGCTAGCAAAGCATTCAATACCATGCAGAATTCGGGGTGGGGAGCAGGTGCCCGCAATCCCCAACAGCTCAAGATCAAGTACTTATAATGTTTACACTGTCCCTACATGCCACGTCGAGTCGCAAAAACTTTGTTCTAGTCAATGCCATGCGCAGGCAAGGAGTCTTTACAGGCCATATGGTCCAAGGGCATGAGAGTCCCCATCCTGTGTTTGACCCAGGCCCAGTGCGTCCCAGCAGAACTCGGACAGCTTCGGCACCTCCACGGAAAAGGCTTGGTCTTGGGAGCTTAGAATGGGAAAGCCTAGCTTGCCTCAGAAGTTTTTCTTCTGCAAGGGACACAGAAGCAACTGTGGACGCGGCGATGTTTCGAGAATCTCCAGCACCACGCTCTGCTGGTGACAGGCCTTGGTGTACAGCAGCAGGAAAGGAAGTGGAAAAGCATGCTGCGTCAGGCGACCACGGAGTGTGGGTACGGAACGACCATTCGACAGAATGAATTCCTTGGTGGCCCACATGCTGAACAACCTGACAAGTTCCATGCGATTTGAAGGGTCTCTCAATTTGGATCTGAACGAGATCACGATGAATTTGGTGCCTTTTCCACGAATGCATTTTTTGCTGGCATCAATGAGTCCCTTATACTTTGGCAAAGACCCGCGTCTTGTTTCCCGAGGTGGACTGGTGAAGACAGTTAGGCAGATCTAGGTCGTCCACTGAGTTCGTAGATGCCCTTGGCTGAGCAGAGTTTATCTGAAGGCTTCCACCAGATGTTCTCCGATGTGGTTACGCACGGCCATCAGCTCATGAACGTGGATCCCAGGCAGGATGATTCTGCATCAGCGTGTGACACCCCTCAATGATACTGAAGTAGGTAGAGCTGCGGCAGCTTGAACAATCTTGAACATTTTACAAACCAAAGCAGAAGGCTGTACAAGCATGCCCAGCCTCTGCCAGAATAGAATGTGACTGCAAGACCCCGAGACTTCCCAGACAGGCTTCGAGACATCAGCCCTGAACTTGCCAAGTTGAGAAGCTGAAGTGTTGTGCTGCTGCATAGAGTGTCGTGCCTGGGCTTTGCATTCAACATGTGGATACCTGCCTGCAGATGCTTTTCAGGGGAAGCACCTACATGGCGCTGGCATTTTTGGTCCGCGGTTCAGCATCGATTGCAGATGTGAATCGCAAACTGGCCGCAAAAAGAAGCAGCAGAAAGACTTGTTCGTCTACATTTACAGTCAGGAAACATCGGCCAGTTACGGAAGAAGCTGAAATTGTTACCCTTCAACGAAGATGCCTTCAAGAAGCTAGGCTGAAATGAAAGCGATGACAGCCTTGCAATATCAAGGAAGTGTTCGTGTGAGTTCCTGTCGCGTTCGCGCTTCAGATGCTGCCACCATCCCCACCCAGCAACGAGATGTTGTCAGCAAGGTCTCGGTGCTCGCGTTTGATCAGCATGCTCTAGCAATGGCGCCCCGCTCCCCTTATTTGAAGCTTAAACGGAAGTCCTCATATTGTGGGATCTAGGCGGCCGGAAGAGCAGGTAGTTTGCCCGCAGCACCATGTTTACTTTCAGAAGGTGGAAGGCTCACGCTGCGGTACGTGGGCTAGTGGCGCCAGTGACCACAGCTCGACCCCCCAAAATGTTGTATTTTGTTGTCTTAGCGTGCGGTTGCCCCGCGCTGGCTGTTGATGAGTCAGCAGCCGCTCAGATTATTCAAAGCCCCGCCGGCCCACGCCGTGGAAATGAGCTTCAGGCGGCTGGCGCTCAGGTCAAGTGCTCCGCCACCCACCATTCAGGATCCAAGCATGTGGACATAATTGGCCGTCAAGCACCCTGTTGCATCGCGGTCAAGGTGTAGGTTTCTGGGGTTTAGCTCGTCCGAGCAGTCTGAGCTTGATCGAACAGCTTGAGGATTGGCCTTTGCAAAGTTCCTCCCCGTGGTCTTCCTTATTCAGTGCTACATTTGGGGAACACATGTGCGGCGCATCAGATGTTCAGTCATACGGCCTCTTGCTTGCAATATGGGTGCGCGAGAGTAAGATCGAGGCTCTGTGTTAGCCACAACTGCGCCTGACAGTCCAACAGGTGAAGGATTTTTCTCGATTGTATACGAGGAAGGCCCATGTACACCACTATACCAATTTCATGGAGCGGGAGGAGTTTGATCAAGCCTTTGAGACAGTCAACTCCTTGATCAAAGACTACATACACTTGGACATGCTGCAGCTGGGCGAAATGAAAGGTTGGAACTCTAGGCCCCTAGTACGGGCCCTTAATCTTGGGGTCCATTTATACTTAGTATACACCCAGTAAACCGGTAAACCCCACCAAGTCCAATTAGGGGTCCATACTGAGGACCCAGGGAACAGGTAGTGGCCCGACTAAAGCTGAGCACGCATAGCATGGCAAGCAAGCTGGTGATTGCTGATGGCTGAAGGGCGAATAAGGCACGAGACTCCGACTTCATGCTGCAGCTTGGCTGTTCCCTAGAGCCACGCGATACATCTTAACCCAACAGAAGCATGACAAGTACAAGTTCTTGCACAAACTCAGATCCAGCAGCTACCGCTCAAAAATCAGCATCTGTCCTGCTGGCTCCTTCCTCGTGGGCCTCGGCAGGCCAGAGCTCCAGAGCTCCGGGCTCGCGCAGTGACAAGATGTTACAAGACTTGATGTCAGACAGGTCACGGCCAACACAGACCGAGCTTCGTTCCGCGCCCCCTGATATGAGTCATATGAGGCTGAGTGGGCGCTCGACCTGTGTCGGTACCAGATTGTGCCGGAGAAACAGTGCAAATTGTTGGGCTCAAGGAATGACGAATCTTGCATTGTACGATATCTGCACAAAGGCCGATACCATCAATCCGCTTTGAACTACAAACTTCGGATGGAGGCTTGGGGCACTGAAAGGCATGTGGCATGGAAAGCGCCTGTGCAAAAGCCAGGCAGCTTCAACGTGATTCTGGAGTCGAAGGATTTTGCAGAGGTGCGAGTTCGCCAGCTGTGCTCTCAGCCTGCACGGCCCCGCTGGGTCAGGTCAAAGGTCCTGATTGCGTCTACGCCTTTCAGCCGCGGACCGTGATGGCAGTGTGAGGGTGCTGAGTGTACTGAGCGCAAATGCGTATGGCCGGCCTTCAGTGCAAGGCCCGTAGATCTTCCACCAAACCTCGGGCCAATGTGGGTTTTCGGACAGACAGCGCTCAGGAGTTCGCTTTACGAAAGCTGCTGCAGAAGCCTGCAGTGCACAAGTGCTTGCCGCAGGAAATACTACACCATCTACGATGCAAGAAGATGGCAAGTTGGCATCGGCGCTTCAGCTGATGTATGTATCACCTTTTTACATCCGAAGCCATGGAGTGCCAATGTTGAGGCCTTGCGCAGCATACTGTGTGGACCTCATTGGCCTTCCTTCCAAATCTGCCAGGGCAGATAGCTCTTGCTTCTGTTTTATCAGTGCAAGTCTCCTAGACATTCACAGCCTGGGTTCAAAACAGAATAAACACACTGATGCCGTTCTCGGGGCCATACTAATATTTCCATGCGGGGTCTGCAGTGAAAACTTCAGAATTCCGCACAACAGCAAGAGAGAGTCCCGACAGACAGGTGTGGGTGAGAGAGTGTGTGTGGCTTCAGTTTGCTGAAATCTTGGCAGGGCAGGTCAACAGATATGGGAAGGAAGCACGAGAGTGTGCCAAGGCGCTGAAGCGTGTGGGAGCGCTGGTGCAGGATGGCGGCTCCCCGCAGAAAAAAGCCGAGCCAGAGGCAAACGCAAATGATTCTGGTGCTTCCTCGCTCTTTGCTCACCAAGCAGGTTTGCGAAGATGACAATAAAAACATGGCTCGCTCCCGAGTCCTGTCCACACTCACATATGTCGGTGTGCCAGCGCCAACAACAGCATCCATGGGCGGTGGGATGCAGCTCAGGTGTGGAACCATTTGCCTGGCTGCAATGCTTTCGTTTCATTCCTAGCCTCCGAGACCATTTAGCGATTTGTGTGCGGGTACACCACAAGCTTGCACGAGGCTTCCATGGGCTACTGCCACCGCTTTTCCCCGCTAGCCAGCACTTGGACTTACACACTTGCACTTGAGCATTCGTACAAGTGCGGATGATCGTTTGGCTTTTGCAGGGAAGTATTGCCGGCTCTCCTGCGAATTGTGTACTGCTGGCGCTTCAGTGCTTCTGACTCTGTTTGTCGTTTCCTTGCTGCCTCAAGTGATGCAGCTTTGAACTTGGCAGGCTGGCAGCACGAGTGATTTGATCGAGGAAAAGAATATCCAGGACATTGCTTACCCACAGTTGCATGTTCAGCTGTTCAGCAGTTGGCGCCATTTCAACCAGGAGAGCTCTCCAGCTCCAGTGCAGGCCTGTACCAAGCGGCAGCGCTACATGCTCCGAAGCTTCGGTTCTCTCATTGAGGTTGCGGGCTCTGGAATGAGCATTTCTGGTGCTCGGCGAGGAGTCCTGCCATCTAGTTTGCTTGCACTGAATGGTTTGGGTTGGTTTGCGAAGTTTGCGCTTGGGCCAGGTCGTCAAGCTACGAACTCTCAGTACTGAAGAAGCTTGATGCTCCCGCCATGCCACAAAAATGTAAAGCTTTCCTGGCTGGCGAAGCTTTCCAGCTGGTTGGCGGCTAGGATGCTACGGTGACCAACAGTGCCAAAAGTTTAGTCTGTGTTGCAGTCGGCTACCGACTTGCAGACATGTGGAGCATGTCCGGCGAGGGCCCTCCCACAAAACTCAAGTTAGTGTTCAGAGACATGCCTCTGCCGGCAAAAGGGTGAGGCTACCATTGTCTCTGTGCATCCATGGCATAGCGTGGAAGCTTGCTTGGCAATGTGTCCTGCAAGGGTGTTGTTGTGCTGTTGCCTTTGAAGCTGCGGGCACCCCCCGGGTTAGCGCGGGATGTCCATTGCGGAGGCTTCCTGCCACATGCACGTCACTAGAAAAGGCGCAGTTTGTAGCGTTCTGAGCTGGACCTTGTGACAGGCTGGATGTCGGAAAACTCCGCGCCGAGAACTGAGTCAATCAGCTCATTTTCGTGGAAGACGTGTCAGCACATCCCGTGCATCAGGACGGCCAAAGCTGGGAAGGAGTCGTCGAAAGGAGGTCAAGGTGAAGGTCTCAAGCAAGACTGCTGTTGGACGTTGCCTGGATCAGGGGATGCAGAAGGAGAGAAGGCCAACAAGGTGGCTCCTTGACTACCCGGCTGTGCATGATGCATGTGGCTATGCATTGGATAATTTGCAGGATTACTTCCGCAGCAGTCTTGGCTCTTCGTTTCCCCACCGCCATTCATGAACAACAGCAGCTCAAATGCCTTGTGCCAATGCCGACCCGTCGTGTCTGAAGTTACTTAAGGACACTTTTTCTGCACATGGCATGGATGACCCTTGAGCATTTACGACCCTCATAGCCCGCCATGCGGCTCCCCAGGGTGAAGAACAAACATGCAGCACCCACGCAGGTCTCGCAGTGCAGTTGAAGTTGAGTCGAGAAGCGCTGAAGCGAGCAATTCGAGTGCTTGCCTCTCAGGTCTTTGTCAATGATCTTCTTCCTGCAGGCACAGTTCAGTCGGAGTTGGCGGAAGCTGGCAGTTAAGCTGCAGGCTCGCAGCTGGCAGCTTCGGCAGGCAGACCCGTTCAAGTCAAAAAGGTGGAAGGAGTGATTCTTCGCAGTGGGGAACGCACAGAATGGTGCTCTTTGTTCATCAGGGCAAGTATCTGGATAGTGCAGGAAGCCTTAGGGTTGTATGGGGCAGGCGACAGGCCTTTTGCTGCAAAGCTGTCATGCCAGTTTTTTCTCCCGAGCACATGAGAAAATTGAGCGTCTGAATGCTTTCAGAAATCCGCGCGATACAGGGGTTGGGCTCGAGGTGCCAGCAGGGTAGGACGCCCATGAGTTCTGAGCATCAGCTATTCAGTCTAGCAGAGGCCTGCATCCGGGGATGTGAGGAACAAGTGGCACGATGTCTGACGCGCATGCGCCCGCAGAGCAGGTTGGATTTCAGGCTTCAGCCTGTGGAGAAGAGTCCCCTGCATGCAGCAGCAATGCATGGCCATGCGGGATGTGTGTCCATGCTCTTGGAGTTGGGCGCTTTTGGGGTGGACGAAGTGGATCAAACCGGCGCAACGCCAATGGCCTATGCTTGCGAGAATGGACATCTGCATGTTGTTCAGATTCTGTCCTCATATGTGCCTTCATCAACTTAGAAGATCTTTTTGTGGTTGCTTGTGACGTTTACACACCTATGGCACAGTGACTTCTTCTTGTTGACCAGTATCTCGCTCATCCCCGCAAAACAAGCTTTGACAGGGGGCGCGTCGGACGCATGTGCGCGACGTGGCTGGAGGGTGTTTCGCCTTCGAGGCGGCCGCTGCTCATCATCATGTTGTGGAGTGGCTGGCAAGAACCAGGGACTGGTGCAGCCCCCTGCATCATGCAAGCCTGCTGCCTGCGTCCAGGGTAATATCCTTGCTGCGAGCAGGGGCTCCGCTTCACAAGCGCAAACGCGACCCAAGCAGATGCTGCGTGTCACCTTTGGAGCTGGCTGAGGAAGACTGCAGGTATTCTGAACCATCCTTGCTAGTCGTTCAAGCTGCGAAACCATGGTCTGTATCTACGCATCACCTGTTCCCAGATGCCGCTCGAAGCCACGCCCGAAGTCTCATTTACATTGGCTACTCCATGGCAGCACGCCATGGACGACACATCACTGATATTTGGCGCCACTACGTTGTTCCGTTGGTGGTTGAGCGCTACGATGCACATCATGTCCGTGCAGGCCTAGGTGCAGCGTTGTGCCCGAATGTTGCCCGTTGAACTTATCCAAGAATCGAAACAAGACCGGCAGCGGCAAGCTTAGAATCTTGATCAGCTTTGCCTTGACATTGTCAGGCCGTGCAAGCAAGCTCGTTCCAGGGAGCATGCTCCAACCAAGCCGGGTCTGCAAAAGCAAGTGCGGTCTGCAACGTGGAAAGAGGTGTGGACAGTCCAGCCTTAGAGACTTGAGCAGAAGCAGCAGCAGCACCTTGCTGTGGCTTTGCCACATGGTGTGCAGGCTGTGAGGCAACCGGCGGGACACGGCCATCTGTGATAAGAGATGCCCACGAGGCTGCAGTTCGATTGTCTGCAGTGCGTCATTGAGTCAATAAAATTGTTCAGGATAGGTTGGCACGCCAAGAATTTCAGCGGGAGCGGCTTTCAGAGGTGCCTTGCTGCGTGCCACATGAGGGCTGGTGCTTCCTTCTCCACCCGCAAATGTTCGATCGGCTCGAGGCCACATGGCATTTTCATGAAATGACATTAGAATCCCTCCAGAATCTCTAGAATCCCTCGCATGGCTGATTGAGGTATATTATCTCCTCTTATACCACCTGCCCTGCCATCCCCTAACTCCCCAAGATACTTGAGGAGCCATGTCGTGATGCCAAATAGTGCCGTAGGATCGCAGATTTAGACGGAAAGGCACAATTACATAGCAACAGGCTGCACTTTGCAATGCCGCCTGAGTGCCTGCAGGTGACGCAGGCGCCATAAAGCTTGCATCAAAACAACTCACCTTCTGCATAAGAGCAAAGTGTCGCACCACACTCCAGTCACAGGATGGCTGTCAGCACCGGGCAAGGAAGACAACCAGGTTGGCGTCGGAGCAAGAGTCGACGAGAGATGCTTCACTCTTTTGAGAAGGAGCAAGTGGCTGAAGCTGACCCTTCTGGGTGCAGCTGCTGGCCGTATCAGAAGCTTGGCAGTGAATCATCGGTCTCAACCACAAGCGGAAGACAGTTCATGCGCGAAACCTGAAACCAGGTGGCTCCTCCAGCGAGTTTTGCTCTTGGAGAGAGACATGTCGTTCACGCCCTCGTGTAGGCCGCACTTGAGAAGTTTAGCTGACACGCAACCCTATCCCTAGCATGCCCTGCCTTTGTAGGCAGACTGCAAGCAGTCGGCAGTTCTTTGCAAGAACCTGCGCCTCTGGATGAGGATGCTGCAGTTGTCGCGTGTTTCAATTGATTCAACAGCCATAGCACTTGAAATGAAGTGGTTGTGTGGCACGGCTTTGGGGCCTTGCGCGCATGGCTTTCAAAAAGAACATATAAATAAGTGAACCGCTTAGCTGCTGCTTGCCAACAAGACTCTGCGTAAACATCCAAGAAACGAGCTTTCAGCTTTGCCATAAATGAGGTTAGGGCGACAGGGATGGCGGCAGTGCAACGGAAATGTGCTTGAAAGTGGGGTTTCGGCGCAATCGCAGGTTCAAGGGGACTGTTCTGGGGCCAGAAACCCTGAGATGGTCGGCGAATTTGGATGTGTTTGTGGGTTTCGCCATGGCCAAACTACGATTTCCAAGAGGCTCATTTTCAAATTCGGCCGGCTGCAAAGAGCGTCCGCGGAAGAGCTCGCCCGTACAGGCAAAGGCATTCTTGCATTGGTTGCAGCAGCTGAAGACATACTGCTGCAAGTTCTGGAAGAGCTCTGGGCCCTCACGACGGTCGTCGCGGTTTTGGCGACTATTCTCACAGCGGAGCACAAACTTCTTTGCACGATCCCAGGGTCTCGGGTTTAGTGACGGACTGTTATGTGATATCATCAGCAGACCACTAGCTGTGACTAGGGGACTAGTATCGCATAGTAGTGGCTTTCAGCCCAAGCTCAGTGCTGGAGTTGGCGCCGAAAAAATAGCGTCACCCAAAAAATGAATGCTCTCTCTGGTGACCGTATGCTCTTGGAACACGAATGATATTATGCTTTGGGCATGGATGCTCTGGTAGCCGAGTGGCTGCACAGACTGCATGCAGACACCACGCGCAAACTCCTTGACAAGCCCTGAACTTGCAAAACGTGCGTTTTATTAGGTCGCCCGAGGCGACCTAACCATAAACGATGCGTTTTGACGATCGTTGCATCTACCGCTCTCAAAGCGTTAGCAGCCCTAGTACGGTGATGTTGAGCGGCGTTCTTTCAACTTGTGTTCTGTTGCTCTCGCTGTAGTAGTGCTGGCCGGATAGTCATGTCCACTTTTGAGTCCGTCGTTCAGATTTGAACAGCTACCGCTGCTGCTGCGGCCTCCGTGGCAGCTTATTGCTGTTACGAGTCTTTTCTGCCATCGCCACCGCTCGTATTCTAGCCTTCTCCGTCTTGCTGCTACTACCAACAAAAACCCACAAGTCCCTTCCTTATCTACAGCAAAGATGCTTCCGGTGTGTCATGTTGCTGTGGCTGCGTTGGACTCCAATTGATTTTTGATAAGTCTCATGGAAGGACACGGTGCGGCTTCACAAGTCCTATCATGAACCCTGGCTTGGACACGCAATCATGCTTGTTGGTTTACGGCATTGATACGCTGCCTCCTCCAAGGATAGGACAGTGGATTATACTGCTGCCCATCTGCAGCCAGCTTTGTCAAAGAGAAATCTGTTCACCTGCCGCAGCAAAGCTGGAGGTACAGAATTTTGAGTGGGTGAACACCAAGCGCGGCCCTTGCATGCGGAGGGAGCAGATTGAGCTGGCCCGGCGGCAAGCATGTGCTGGCACTACCAGCTGCAAGGTCGTACAGCGTTGACAGCACAATCATGCACGAGGAGCTGGAGCTTTCTAGTCACAACCTTTGAGTGCAGTTCATCCGTGCCCGGAATGGTCGTCGCCCGAGATGTCAGGAGCATGATGATGTTTGGCGTGTATCCAAAGCACGCTTGCAGCACTGGCCACGGCTTGACGAGCAGCACATTCACGAGGCGCCCACGCTCTATATGCGAAGATTGTTTTCCTTCGAATTTCCGTGGGAGGCCAGAGTCAGCTTTGTCAGTTGACAGGTAAGCTTCGGTTCGAGACCGCAGCGATTCTGCAAAGCCGCAGATGCTGAACTGCTGGGAGATCCGATGGACAACATATTTATTATCAATTTGCCGCCAGGCTTGCATGTTCCACAGTCCATGTTCAAGAAGAGCGGAGGATGGTTCGCAATATGTTTCAACAAAGGCCTCGCAGACCAGCAAAGCTGAAACATGCAACTGGCTTGCAAGATGTTTGGCTTTGGCGGAGCCTGTTAGCCAAAGATGTCCTGACTTTGTCTGTCGAACTTATGCCCAGAAAATGTCACACTGTTTTGGGTTGTGGGTCGGGTACGACAAATTGCCAGAGGATTGCACAGAGCAATGGGTAGCCTTCGGCAGGTCCTAGCACAGCTCCATGGCGAGGGGTTAAATGCAAAGATCGTGGATGCAATCGATGGCGACGCATTCACATCTCAGGCGCGCCTGGTTTTGAACTTCTCCAAGTTGTCAAGATGTGCAGCGCGCAGAACAAATTCTTGCTACCGAGTAGTCTTGCAGAGCACGCGCCTGGCCAGGAGGAAGTTGAGAAGTTGCTTTGCCGCAGTAGCCTTTGAGTCCAACATCTCTGAAAAAAACAGAAACACAAAGCAGTCGGCACGCAGGCGTTTGCAATCCATTTGGATTCGTGCCGGCCCAGGTTCAACTAGCTTGGGGTCAGATTCCTCAACCGTTTCACGTGGGAAGGGGTTGAATTTGAGCTCATGTGTGCAGTAGGCTCAGCAGTCTAGTTCTCTACCAGCAACACAATTGATCAAAGCAGCAATGCGCACATGTGCAAGTAAGGCTTGGGGCCCGCACGCTGCCGAATTACTGCGGGCACAAGACGCCTTCATGCAATTAGCTGTCTGCTGAGTGATGGATCATGGCCAGTCAGCCTGCGGGAAAAACAAAGTCTTGCTATGTCTGTGCTTCAGAGGAACACGCTGCCGCATTTGACGACGGGTCAATTGGGCTGTTTCATGAGCCATTTTACAATTTGGCATTACATGGTTCCCTGGCAGCACCATTGGTAGGAACTGGCTGCTGCGTCGTCATGACTGTGGCAACATACCCGAGAAGCCCTTCAGAGTTGTTTGCGTGAAAACCTGCAGGAGACCTAAATGTTGAGGTTGAGCATAGCATCCCATCAGCGCTGATCCTGGAGGATGACTTCGACCTGCTTCGCAGCTGCATTGGAACTTGTCAGCTTTCCAGGGCTCGCGTGGTGGCATAGTGCTTGACCGTCTGGCAATCTGCCGTCAAGCTGTGACAACAGCAGGAAGATCAGCAGCATCCAGCAGCATTAGCAGCAGCAAGAGCCAGAAGGATACTAGCTTGCAGTCTTCAGCAATCTTCATTCTAGCACTGACACGTTCTCAGACGCAGTGCCGACACGGCTTTGCTTGTGTAATGTCAGTTTTTGAACAACCTTGCCACAAGCGGTTTCTAGCATGAGGCCAGCTGCCCTTTGAAAGTCTGATGCGTTTATGAAGTCTAGCACCTAGCAAGGGATTCTGGTTTCTAGGTCGAATGGCATGCAAAGCTTGGGCAGAAGGCTTACAAAGTAGTAAATTCGCTGATGGTGAATTTGAAGTGCTCAGGCAGGACGGCTTCAAGGAAAGACTTGGAAGCTACCTGGAAGAGGCCCGAGATCACGATTGGAACTTAATGCGTCTTAGCTTCACTGGATGTTGCCCGGTGGAATCTTGTTCAGAGTTTGTTGTATAGTCCCAGATTCGCAGATTCCATGTCCTGCCTTCGTGGGTTGTGGATTGCACCGCGTAGTCTAGGTACTTGGGCCGAAGTCCGACAGAACCGGACATATGCCGCATCAGCCAGCACTTGGCGCAGCCTGGTATTGTTCTCAGAAGCTGTTGCTGTGCGGAGCTTCGGTCGTGTGCTCGGCCTTGCTAGGTTACACTCTGTGGACCGTGGGGCAACGCGGACAAAAGCATGTCCGGAGTTTATCAAGTCGCGTTGATACAAGCTTGCATGCTGCTGAGGTATATCTTTAAGCTGGATGCTGCCCGCGCTTTGGTTCAGGCCGAGGTCGAGAAGAGGCTGGCTCCGCTGGATGCACGGCAAATTCATTGATGTTCTCAAAGCGGGTAAGCTTATGTAGCAGGCCTTGAGGACAGGGCTTATGTTGAATTCGCGTGCTCCATGTGCCCCTACTTATGCCATCCTTGACTTTCCGGTCTAGAGCAAAGTCAAGATATGTGGTTACGCACCTGAATCAAGGAGACCATACTTTCGCAACCCCCGGGATTATGCGATACCCATGTCATGTCAGCAATATGTCGCTATTGGGAGACTTTGTGAACCCTTATGTGGGAACAAGGTGTTTCAACCAATGCGCTGAGCTCAGGATCACTATTTCTCCGTAGCCATGGGCCAGGGTTTCAGCGGCCACTGGAACGAGAATGCGGTGGAGTGGAGCCAGTGCGCGGTCACATGTCAGGGGATGACGCTTCCAGATACAGCAGCCAGAAATCAGGTACATTCCTCAGGTCCTCCGGGGGCTGGCGATAACTCCGCCGTTGGTCATGCCGCATCTCGGCTGGCACAGAACTAGCCTTGAGCTTCATCTCGGACATGGCTAAGGTATGTTGGATCCATGTTCCTAAGTGACACTGCCATGTTGCGCTCGGTCCTAAGACAGCTTGTGGGCCTTCGACAATCATGACTTTCTGCAGTGCTCGCTTGGTGGAGGAACCCGTGTTTTTTTTGGCTGTTCGGTCTCTTTTGTTGTTGGGTCGCTTAAAGACGAGCCAGGCAGACGGGTA